TAAATAGCCATGGGCCGGAGTCTGATTGTTGCTTTGGATGTTGTTTTGGAAAGTAATGCTAATGTCCACAAAGTTTTGGGCCTGCAGCGGGAAATAAAGTCTATCTTCAACAATGGTATGTGTTCTGTGCAGTGCCCGCCTACATATGAAGAAAACTTCCAAGTGCATAAAACTTTTTCTTAATGTGCAAATTTGTACTCGGAAGGTTTTATCTGATTTTTACACACAGGTATAGGCTGATATAAATTACTCCAGTTTATCTCTGTTACATATTAATTTATTACATATTAAATTATTATTCCAATATTAATTAAAATGTATTTGGAATTGTGCCCCATTCTTCCTTTATTGTAGTTTCCTGCAAAGCATGCTTCAGCTAGGGAGAGATGGGGCCAGCAATGTAAGGCAACCAGGCTATACTACATTGCAGGGAGCTGTGGGTTGCCATTGGAAAGTAAAGGGTTAACTTCATCAAGGTGTTGCTGCTCTTTCACTATTCAATCACAGGCTAGAACAGTCATTGATTAAGCTGTATTCCTTTAACTGTAAAGTGAGGTCAGATTCTTGCAGTGTTACCTGACGGATGACTAGATTAGAAAATTTAAAATTTCTGGGTAGATAAGACAGCTCCCACTGGCACTGACATATTTCTTCTGTAACTTCAGTTCTTTGCCTTCATGCCCATTTTAAAGTCCCCCTGTAACATTGTTTTATTAACTATTGATACTGACAGAAGATTCATTATTTTTCTACTAACTGTAACAGTCCAAGCTGTGCAGCAAAAGGGGTAGTCCCCATCCAGCTGATTGCTGGTTGATTGAAAGGAGGTCTGACAGTTAAAGGGGTGTTAACTGCAGCAGTTTCAATAAAAGCACAGGAAGACCACCGTCCTGCAAAATTGGGAGCTGATGGTCATCCTATGAAAAAGAGGCTTCAGTGACAGAGCAGAAACTGTCAGCAACAACAGGTATTTATGAAACATTTACTCACACCAATATAAACAAACTGTGCATAACTACATTTGCAAAGTAAAAAGGGGGCTATTTACACAACTTTAGTATTTGGGTTTACATACACACTAAAGTATATTTTTTCCACCTTTGCAGTTAAATTTGAGAAAACCCCACTGTTTATGTGTTCCCATTCACACAGCTGATCGAAAAATAATTTTTACAAATAAATGTTTTACCTTTTCAGATGTTGCTTTGGTGGAGGCCTTTGTGCAGATTCCAGGCTACTCTCAGCAGTTGTAAAGTGAAACAAGAGGGTTAAACTGAGGGACAGATTGAGCTTCTCATTAACATACAATGCTTCCAAATCTCTAACCCTTTTTTTTAGCATAGACAGTGTTCAATTCTAGTTTACAACCGATAATGAAATCTGACAGCACAGTACAGACAGGGTTAGTTAAAGAAAACTTCCAATAGCCCCCTCCTTAACATTACAAAAGGGGAAAACTAGGTTGGATTTTTAAGCAAGAAAAAAAAGCTTGTACGCAGTAATGTTTATTTTTTTATTTATGCATTGTGAATAGAAATACACTGAGTGGCCAGATTATTATGACCACCTGAAGTTTGTAGGCAAATTAGCTATAATTTTGCGCTGAAGTTGCTAGAGGGCCAGACCATTATAAATAGAGAAGCAGGTTGTTTACAACAACAGTAGAAGTGATTTTTTTTCTGAAGATATGGGTAAACAACGCGATTTAACAGCCTTTGAACGTGGGATGATTGTTGGCGCTCGGAGCCATGGAGCGAGTATCAGCAAAACAGCAGAATTCGTTAAATGTTCAAGAGCAGCTGTTGTTAAAGTGTTTAAAGACTGGACTGTCAGCTGAAAATCTGGGTCTGAACGTGCGAATTGTGGCCGTCAGCGACTAGTCAATGTTAGGGCAGAACGGAGAGTGGCAAGACTGGTACAAGACAACAGAAGGGCAACAGTGCATCAAATTACTGCAGATCTTAATCGGGGATCCTCCTAAATGATCTCTGAACGCACTGTTCGCCGTACACTGCACCGTATGGGATATGGAAGTCAAAGGCCTGTTCGAACACCTTTGCTGTCTGCAGTTAACAAGATAAAACGTCTCCAATTCGCACAGAAACAGGATTGGACAGTCGAGCATTGGAAAAAAGTAATGTGGTCCGATGAAACACGTTTTCAGTTGCATCATGCAGATGGCAGAGTGAGAATTTGACGGAAACAGCATGAAAGCATACACCCCACATGCATGAGTACAACCCTTCAAGCTGGTGGGGGCAGTGTTATGGTTTGGGGCATGTTTTCCTGGCATGATTTGGGCCCTTTAATTCATGTGGAACAACGTCTGAATAGCACAACATACCAAAGTATCGTTGCTGATGAAGTTCATCCTATCATGTTGATGGCGTATCCCAATGGAGATGGCTTCTTCCAACAAGACAATGCGACATGCCACGGTGCTCGTATTGTGCAGGAGTGGTTTCAAGAACATGAGGGCGAATTTACCTTGCTTAGGTGGCCCACACAATCATCAGATCTCAATCCAATTAAGCATTTGTGGGACGAAGTTGAAAGAGCCATCAGGCAGCTGGTTCCACAACCATCAAATCTCACACAACTGGACAGTGCTATTCATCAGGCATGGTGTCAGATTCCTCGCATCACCTTTCAACATCTCGTGGAGTCAATGCCAAGAAGAATCACCGCAGTATTGAAGGCAAAAGGTGGCCCAAGGAAGTACTGATGGGGTGGTCATAATAATCTGGCCACTCAGTGTATATAAAAATATAATGTAGGAGTTATCCCAATTTGACTGCAAAAGTGGAACTACACTTTAAGCCTTTCCTACACAAGCACTGATGTATTGCCAAGCACACTATCTTTACTGACACCATTTTAAGGTTCCTCTCCCATCACTACACCGAAAACAGCAGCTCTTTGCTCCAAGGGCACACATTACTGAAATGGTAAACTACTCTCTTAAGGGCAACTAAAAATTGGTAGCAGCCTTACTTTAATTGTTGAAGTGAGATTGCTTTTTACGATCTACGAGGTGGAAAAGATGTTGGGAGGCAAAGAGCTAATAAGATATTGTGGACGCTCACAGGTACATGTCCCTGCCCTCATAAGATTTTATGGTGCTGTGCTGCTTGTCACTCCTGGTCTCTAAATGAGCAGAGGATGCTTTTTACGGAAATAAAATGCCCTTATCCTCCCTGGCGGTATTCCTGAGTGTGGCTCGGTAACCCCGAGCCACACTCGGGATTGCGCAAAAGTGTCACTTACCTTGTCCCTGCGAGCCCACGGTGTCCTGTGCTGTGTGCGCACGGCCGATGCCGGCATTTGGCTTTCAGTTTCGTTTGCGGGCGTCACCGCGGGATTCGTGTTTCAAACTTTATCATACCCGGGATGTCTACTGGACTCTTGTTTGGACAGATTTAGTGAGTTATAACTAAGATTTACTAAGAATTACGGGCCTACAAAATAAAACAACAAATTGCCATGAAAAACAATGTACCGCTTTGGCATGCTAAAATCCTCCATAATCATACCGCCAGGGAGGTTAATGGGAGAAAGCATAATTTAGTGCAGCGGTTATTATAATCCTGTGAATAATATATTTTTAAAAATGTGCATTTTTGTCATATGCAGGTATGGTAAAGTGACTCTTCATTATTAATGATAGTATCCCCTTAGCAGAAGCTTCCTACTATGACCTTCAGTGGGATTAGTGAACAGGAATTCAGTCTCTTAATGCTTCTCCCCCCTTCTGCTAAGCTCTCAAAAAACTGCATTTTTACATGTAAACATTCTTTGCTGTTTTATATTGTTTTGTTTCTTTTTCCAACAAAGCAGCCACTATGCCATTAATGTAAATTAAAATGTTATTTCAGTGTACCAAATCCTTCTCTCTTTGTGTTTGCTTAGCCCATCCACTGTGTTCCATCACATTCTGGAATTTGTGTTGGTGACACTACTAAAGGTTCCCGAGATGCATTAACCTATGACGGATGTTTTGCTAGGGTGGGGAGGGAGCAAAATCTCCGTATAGCATATGGTGAGATGTTTACCAGGCAGAAGCTGATGGCTGGGATACTTCACTAACATAGATACAAAAACCCACCCGTGCACTAAGCTATGATGGATAAAGTAATGTAGACCTAAATAGTTAGCATATCTATCAGAAGTGTACACTAAGTATATGGAGGCAAAAAAAGTGTATACCCATTCCTAAATGTATAAATGCATAGCTATTTAATAATAAATATATATAAATCACACAGAATGGTTAGGGATTAGCTACCTGGATGTTGTCGGCTTAAAGTGGACCTTTACCCCCTCTCACTAAAATGCAGCTCTGCCTGCTGATATTAAATCATCTTACGTTCGTTAGTTAAACATTTTTTGCTTTTACTTACAATTACTGGTTTTCCATGTCCTGGTTGAGTGAGGCACTGATGATGTAGCCCTGGCCTCACAGACACATTCTGGGAAGGCTACATCACCAGTGCCTGCCGAAGAAATCTCATTTGTAAACTGCAAAAACACAGAAGATTTTGGGAGAGGCTTATGATGTACACTGCCATATGTTCCAGGAGGCAGACCTAGAGTTCCAGGAAGTAAAAGGAGATGGATTCATCAGCACTTAGTGAAAATGGCCACCGTGAGAAGATTGAGGAGGAAAAGAAAAGCTATGCGAAGAATATAAAGCCTGAAATGATCTAGAAGTATCTGTTTGTAGATTGCCATCACAAATCATTTCTAAAGATGCCTTTTGTTGTCATTTTTATGATAAGGGTGAACTTCCTCTTTAAAATACACATCTGGACCAGATCAAATATAACCCCAATAACTGTAACATACCTTATTCAAAGATTGCAATAAACTCAAATGCTAAAAAAAAGGTACACTATGCATGTTTACATAAATAGAGTTTATTTTGTGTAAGAGCATGGAGCCTTGATACATACTGAAACATGAAGTAACATTCCCAGTGCCTTAAATAATGTTAAACAAACACATTTTTGTTCTCAGGTGTTCGGATATATCAAAATGGATGTATAGTTGCTTTCATGCCTCGGAGAGCCCACCGAGAACTGGCAATGTTTTCCTTGTGTATGTCCAGGGTAAAAACAAGCTCTTTGACAGATGTTGAGGACAGGTACACTGGACACATGTAGACATCTGAAACTTTCGGAGAATCATTAATGCCATATTTTTCAGAGGTAGGCAAACACTGCACGTGGATGATGGGTAATGTGTTTAGACACTGCTTCTGCGGGGAATCCACAATCTCTCCATCAGTCTTGTTCCAGAATATGCCCCAGATGTGGACTCCATATACAAACATACCTTCATGGGGTGGATCTCTGATCTAAAAATGGAAAATGTAATTGTTGAGTCAATACAAGGAACATATAATAATTAGTTATTGGATAGTCTGTTATTATTGTATGTCATTTTGACACTGAGAGTTTGGCATAAATGAAAAAGAAAAAGATGGGTTTTTTTTAGGCACCAGTTGACAAGGCCAATAAGCTCATTGGCCTTGTCAACTGGTGCCTAAAAAACCCATCTTTTTCTTTTCCATTGTTACCTCATCTGGGGTTGGCACCAAACTACTCAGGATCTGCGCACCACAAACAATTTTGTTGAGAGTTTGGCATAGCTTCCAACAGTTTCAGTCATGTATAAATGCATTTAGGAATAGAGGAAATGGAATAAGCTCAAATACAATTTCTTTTTAAATTTCAACTTTTGGAGCAGAAACTATGATACATATGGCCTGATATATGCAAGTGTGAAAGGATGTCACAGTAGTCTCTGCTTTTTTTTTTTTATACATGTGCTGTGGACAAAGTCAGTGTTGTCTTAATTACATGGGGCACCATTGTACTAATTACATTTGTAATTCTCTTTAACCCCTCAGTGACACAGCTTCAGAAATAGTTTTCGCTTCTTGGGACCGGAGCAATTTTGCCATGTGTTTGTATAACCATAATTTCCATCTTCCTCATTCATTACACCTGCACATATTTTATACCATTTTTTAAGGACAAAAATGGCTTTAATTTGAGGTGACATATGCATATATAAATACTTATTTAAAAAAAAATAGATAAATCAATAACACTCCACATTTTTCACAGCTTTTGGCAATAATAATAATGCGTACATAATGTAGCTATGTCTTTGATTTCAGTTTATTATGGGAGTTTTATAGGTCACAAAATACCAAGAGTGAAATACAATTTTAGAATACGGTATGTTTGTCTCCTATCTTTAATAGCCCCCTCAGCACTCTATTTTCTTATAATTTTTTATTAAACATTTACTAATTTCCTCCCAAAACTCAGCATAGAGAAGGCTATTGCCCACTCTATGCTGACAGCACAGAGCCACGCTGTAGGCGGGAAAGTTCCCAAAAATATTGTTGGCATCCACCCTATTGCCTGATTGACAGCTGGCTCTGCCTCTCGACGGCCAGAGCTAACTGTGCCCACCCCCTCCAATGTCTGTCCCTCTAGTCAGCGCTGGAGAAATGGAGAGGGGAGTGGGAAATCCCTGCGGAGAATGGTGACTGACAGTCACTGCTCTCTGCAGGGAGAAGATGTGAACTTAGTGATCAGCGGTATGTGATCGCCCAGTTCTCAATCAATAGAGCTGACGTGACAGCTGCAGTGTCACCCTCCCCATAGTTCTCCATTATCAGGGATTTTACTGAGCATGCATTACCTGGCTGGGAGTCTTTTTGTAAGGAGGAGAAGATGTGTGGCTTCCAGAAGGCCACACAGTGAAGATCTATAAGCAGCAGGCACTTGTATGTGTAGGATTTGGCAGGGATGCTAGGGTTAGAGAAGGGGTTATTTAAACATACTTCTGTACTAAAAGTACAGTCATCCTTTAAAGCTGAACTGCGGGCTTACCATCAGTGTTGTACAAGTGCACACTGAGAGCTTCTTATGGTGTGCAATTAAAGCTGCAGCCAGTCAGGTAGAGCCCACCTTTTCCTAGCTGGAGAACATCCAGAAACATCTAGCTCTTTCTTCCCAAGCTATGCTGTCCTTGGTCAGCCCATTTAATTTATTGGATTTATTTTAATCATCGAGGCTCAGCATCAGATGTGGATCTTACCTAAGGCAGTCTACATCCAAATCCAAGCTGACATCCACCCATCTAAGCATTTTGATATTTGCTAAATTCCTTCCAAGAGCCAGACCACTGCTTGCATTAGGTCTAAGGACTCGAGTGGAGTTGTGAGGCAGGGTGCAATGATGTTGTCAGAAAGCTATCTATAGCTCCCTGCTAGCCCCTCCCCCCAGCCATGATCTGTCAGCATTATATCAAGAAGCACAAAGTGCTTATGACACTGGCTCTATAATAAGGTGTGTGGGGATGGTTTTATTTAAATATTTCATTAGCATATTGATAAGGGGGGGCAGATACTGCAACATATAAACAGAATAAACCAGCTTTATGTAAATAAAACATTGCCAAATTACAATTACACATCACTTACATGTTCTTTGTCTCTCTGTGTTATTTCAGTTTTAAACACTACTGATTCTGCATTTCCAGTTCTTGCTGAGTATCTGCGAATTGCTTCTTGTTTAAGAAGAGAGAGAAGGCCCTTAGGATTATGGAATGCCCCAAGCCAGTAAGTTGGCATTTTTTCACGACCCTAGGGATTTAGGAGTGAAATGACAGTGTGAATGTTGCAGAAAGGAACGGAAACACAAAAGGTCACAGAAAACAGCAATATAATGTTGGATGGTCATGGTTTCATACCACCATAATTTGGATTTAAAGAGCAGACATCTCTAGAAACAATAAAACAGAATGCTTTATATCTGCTTTGTTGTACTTACAAATTGCAGTATTTTCTCAAAGTGAGCTACTCTCTGCTGCACATCTTGTGTCCATGAAGAGACAGACCAATCAGATAGATAGGGAAAGCCCCATTCCATCTTAAACCATTGTGTGGGAGCTTTCTTGTGATATAAATCGTGTACAATTGTGATAGTGTTGGGGTCAGATAGCTGATCACCTAACGTGTCTGATAATTCCAGGGAATCCTTTATTACCTACAGAAATAAAAATAAAAAGAAAGGATAAAATTATGTCCTACGGAAATACAGCTGTCTATCCGTAAAATAATTCCTCTTCATTCTTCACTAGAGGTTTTCATAATTTCCTTATGCATGTATGCACATGGAGGTGCCGATTAGACATGTGCACTGCCAAAAAATGTGTTTAGTTTCGTTTCGTTTTAAAATCGGATTTGTGTTATTTAGTTTTTCAGGATTCGGGTGTGAAAGTCAATTCGGATTCGGAATTCGGATTCGGATGAAATTCGGTAGCGTTAGTACGAACGTTCGTTTCTTTTTCTGTTCTTATTCGTTTCGTTCGTTCGTTTGCAGCAGAAGTGACATTTGAGGGGGAAAAAATATTTTTCTCCTTCTCTAATGTCACTTTGCTGCAACGAACGAAACGAATAAGAAACGAATAAGAACAGAAAACGAAACGAACGTTCGTACTGACGCTACCGAATTTCGGAAAAGGAAATTCGGATTCGTTTGCATTCGTTATGTCTGTAATTCGGAATTCGGATACATCCGAATGTCCGAATTTCCGAAAATTCGTCCGAATTTCGATTCGGAACGAAACGAATCGCACATGTCTAGTGCCGATGTATAAGCCATCATAAACTTGTCTTGCACACATTCACACATTATGTGTGCCACCTTATACTTACAGTATATGCATTTATCACAGCTTCCCTCTACCAGGTGCTAAGGAATCTCCTGGAAGTGGTGCCTGCCCTTGATAAATTCAAAGTGCTCTCCATCTGATAGTAGAGCTACCTACCTATGTTTAGCCAATCACAGACTTATCTGAACTCCCTGATTCTCTGACCTATCAGAGGAACACTAGCTGTCACAATAATTTTCCACTCCATACAATATATCAGGTATGTACCGATACCGATACTAGTATCGGTGCTGATACTGAGTATTTGGGAAAGTACTCACCGCCAGGTTCCAGATTGGTAAGGAAGCTGGCCAATCAGGAAGCTAGGCGGCAAGTCATTACCCACCCCCCAGCTTCCTGATTGGCCAGAAAGCCGCCTCCATGCTTCCTCGTCACCTGGTGACGAGGGAGCATGGAGCCAGCTTCCCAGCTAATCAGGAAGCCAGGCAATGAGTCATTACATGCCGTCCGGCTTCCTTAATGGGACTTCCAGTATCAGTATGCAGGATCGGCGATTAGCGGGAAAAAAAATATCGGTACTCGATACCGAAGAACCGGTATCAATGCATCCCTACAATATATATTATAATTATCATTTACTGCTTGGTATGACTATGAGAGTTATTACAATATTTGATAGGAAGCAGAACAAATCTGATATTCCGTACTAAATATTTCAAGCTTGTGTAATGTTGATAGCTTGGTAATGCCACAGCTTGCCCATGGGGTGCCCACTATTCTTTAATGAAAGTTCTGTTGTAGCCGATCATACCTAGCAGTGATGTATTCTTTTTTTGGCAATACGATACAATAAGGCTCAATTCAAAAAGGTAACACACCAGAATAAGGAGAGTTATATTTTTGCTTTCAAATGACAGTTATTTTGAGTCCAATGAGATTAGAAAATTATAGTCATATGGCTAAAATAAAAATGCTTATGCTTGAGTTAAAGCTTTCTAGATTGAGCCTATTATGTGCTGTATGTACTGTATGAAAGTATGATAATACTCACATGTAAATCCCGTCTAATTTCAGACAATACTGATGTGAGATGAAGGAGTTCTTTCTTCAAAAACAGGTTAAATGGGGTATCTCCACCAAGCTTTTTCAAACGATCATTGATGAAATCCTTTAAGCACAGAAATAAAATATACAATGGCTTTATTGTATGAATATACAGTCCACAGTAGCCAGAATTTGTTTTTTATTTCATAGTAGTAAAAAGATCAGCAATCTGAAATGTTAACACCATCCCCCAGACAGCCCCACTGTGCACAGATGGCTGCTATATACACAGGGAATAGGATGACACATCTGTCACATCTTCTCTGTCATTATATTGGATCTTGTGAGTCAGCAGCTGCCACCAAAGGTTGGACTCTTTAAGCTCAGCATACAGCCAACAAGGGGATCAGCCCCAGTGGCATGGCTAAATTTAATGCATAAAATGTTTTTTTGTCAGCCAGGACTTTATTCCTACAGTTTATTTTCCTTGGCCGGTCCCTTAATAAATGCACCTCTTTTTATTGAAACTGATACTGTATACTGATCTTAAATCTTAGATGTGACCTCTGTTAATTAAAGGATTAATTTAGACATAACATATCTGTCCTAACATGTCTATTAAATGACACATCAAGGAACTCATCCCCTTGGGTTACTGGTCTAAATTTTCTTTACACCAATCCCAAGATGGTCACGACTACACCTTCTGAGTGGACTCACTTCCTGTAAAGATTGTGTCCTTTTTATGAAACAATTGGAGCCAGAAGTTAATGCCTTCAGGCATATTGATGCAACTTGCCAATTCTTCCATAAGCAAGTCATATACATTAATGCTGAGTACTGCCCAGAGTGAGGATAATATCCCACACAAAACATGTCATCCTATACTATATATTATCTAGCATGAATGTGCGCTACTCATTTATATTAACCTCAGCGTATACATACCCGACTCCATCCACGTGGCACTTTGGAGAGAAGAGAAGCACATGTGTCATGGACCTCCGTTAGCTTGGCTGTTTGTAGGTACATAATAGGTGGATTGGCCAAAGAGTCAGTTATGGGAGAGGCAGAGAGGGCATGAGGGCTTTGTACAGAAACATGTTTCACAGCTAGACAAAAAACACAACATTGTCAGTCATATAACTACCATGTACAGTATTTGTTTTCTCTAACAAATATTAAGTATATAAAGCATATAATTAATTTGCTTCTAAACACCATCATGGAAAATGGCTCAATATTTCATATAATGAATATAAACCTAAATTCACTAAATAAGAGGTCTTATTTACCATTTAAAGCTCCTTAAGGCAAAGCTAAGACATATACCATTCCTCACTCACACCTACCGTATAATAGAATTATCACTTTCATATAAACATATAACAGAATGAAGGGGTTCCATTGAAACATATTCACTTTAATTCTACATAGTTAACATCACTGGTGGGGTGAAATGATAGAAAATTGTTGCATCTTTGGAGTCCTTTTTGTATCAACTAAAAAAAGTGTGCAAGCCTGGATCACAAGAGTGATCACGATAATTAGTGATGCCGTATCAGAATGGGAGAGGAGCTAGCATGGAACAGTGATGTTGGATTAGTGTGGGTGAGCAGCCAATAGGGATCAGTGATGTTGGAGGGCAATAGGGCAGCAGACAGAGGTGATAAAGGAAAGGTTAGGAACTACTGGAGATCTGTGATTTTGAAGCAGTGAGAAGGCATCGGGGAACAGTGTCAGTAAACAAAGAATGGGCAGCAGTAAACAGGGATCAATGAGACTGGGGTGGCCCAGACGTTTGAAACTCATGGGACTGTGCATACTTTACCTAACTATGATGTTTCCTATGCTTTTGCTAAGAAAGAAGAAGCCAAGTAACCAATAGAAGTAATAGTGTGAAGAAGAGGCAGATTAGAGCAGACAAGATAATGTGAGTGAAGTTTCAGTAAAACTAGTGCAACTTACAGTGGGGCCATCTGCAGGGAGGGTTGAGTAGTGATGATGCTGGTGAAAAGAGTGTGGACCAAATAGTGGCACCAACAAGGAGATTGGAAAGCAGAGGAGTCAGTGGAACCTAATTGTACAGGAGGAGGAGAAAGCAAACTGGGTATTGAATTTCAAAGTATGTGAAAGGCTGGGGGAACCGAGTTACAATGGACAATGGGTTAATAGACTGAGGAGCATCAGAAAAGAAACAAGGCACTGAAATGAGGAAATGGCAGCAAAACAGCAGAAATCATAAACATTCCGAAAGGCTCCCAGGATGGGTACTGTACATATATGTGATTCATGGCAGTTGTTACAGACAAGTGTTTCTAACAAGCCTACTTTTTTAATCATAGGCTGTATAAATACAGTATGTACAGGTAATATACCCTTCTCATTATTTCCTCACATTCACTGGATAGTGATGTCTTACTGGTAAAATATACTAAAGTTTTACATCTCTGTTCTCAAAATACGACAGGTTCAGATATAGTATAGGATTAATAAAGGGTAACGCTGTACCTACTCTACACCAGGTATATAGCATTTATTTCGAAAATGTTAAATCACCTTTTTGAGATGTTGGTGGAGTTTTTGCAGGTTGTACCCAATGCCTGTATGTAAACCCAGGACCACAAAGTTGACTAAACCTTGAGATAACATAGATTTGTTCACCAAAAAGAACCTGAAAAAGAAGTTAGAAGATATTTGTATCAGTGTAAGTTTGTCTTATGTGCAGTACTGAGTAATGCTGTATATGGGGCTCATATTTATTACCACTGGTGATGAGTGCATGTGAAATGATTCTGGAGCATCCAAGGAATACTGAGGGATGGATTCCAGTGCTTGTTTCAGTGAGACAGGATTTATGTCAGAGTTAAAGAAAGCTGCTGGAATCTTCAACTTTACTGTCAAGAAGAAATAAAAACAAATCAATGTAATATTCATTTGAACATTTTTAATGTGCAACATGGACAACACACACTGATGAGTTAGCAAGAACAGAATGGAACATATATTGATCAAGCGTTTGGAAGGCTTCAAACACACATTGAGGCTCTTTTAAAAGAAACCTGTACAAATGATACGGCTAAAATATGAAGGATGACATGGTTGACCTCTTTCAGCAAATTCTGGTTAATTTGCTTTCTTTGACTTCATCACTCGATAAGTCACTGACCTGGAAAAAGTATGCAACTGAAGTCAGAAAACCTGATCTTCACACTTATATCAGGTCACTGTCTTTGAAAATAATGAAGCTATTGAATCAGTGTGACAGCTAGGCAATTAGCAATTCCAGAAAGAGACATCAACAATTGTAGCCTGAAAATGTCCCCCTACAATGGTTTTCTTTTAAGAACTCTGAGAAAAAATAATAATATTAACCCTTGCAGTGGGGCTACCCCTACACTGGAAGGGTTAAGTGCTCATTTGTGTCTAGGGAAGAAAATAAAAAAGTTATACTCACCCGTTCCTCTGACTCAGCTTGCTCTTAGACTGGTGCCTGGAGCCTCTTCCCCCCTCCTCTGCAGCGGTCTAGGTCCCATAAATCATGTTCTATATACAGCGTATAGAATGTGAGGATGCTGAGGGATTGCATTGCTGCAGCATAGGAGGAGACAGGCAGGAGGGAGTGCTATCACAGCCAGCTGGCTCAGAGGATCGAGTCAGTATAACTTTTGTATTTTCAGCCTTAGACTAAAACGAGTAGTTAACCCTTGCAGTGCGGGGTAGACCCACCGCAAGGGTTAATAATAATTTTTTCCCTTGAGTTCTGCTTTAAGAAGGCAAAGAGTAATATGCAATGTTCACTATCCACAGTATCACTCTTTACGATCATATTTCAGCAAACTCAAATGTGAGTGGTGGTTGAGCATAACTGTACTTTGTTCATAATTGCTACTCTTTTGTATTGCCTCAATAACCAAGGCCCTCAATTTAAATTTACTAATAGCTTTCAAAACCAAACGACTACAAAACAATAGCTTTGTCAAACAATTGTGGTTAACAAAGCAAAAACAAAAATAAAGAAACTTACATTTAGTGAGTTCATTGTCCCGCTTTGTAGAGTTAATGGTAATCCAATAATCAATCATTGATGACAAGACTGTCATATCGAAATCATCAGAGACATTGCAGCCATAGATAATCTGATAAGAAAGAACACCTTACAATCACAATGGTGGAATTACTCTTTATTCATGTCAGAGGTCATGGGATATATGGGATCCATTATTGTACAGATTATTATTCAGAGCGTGTGAAGTAAATGGTAAAAGACACTGCTCTCCAGTAATGTTATCATTCACATACATATATACTGTATATGTCAATTACAGTTTATGTCTGGAATCAGTGTGGGAATTACTGGAATGGTTTAATAATGAACAAAATATAATTCCCATTATGAACTACACACAGAGGCATGCTTTTATATCTATGCTATAATATTTCACATTTTTCTTCTGAACTTTACTTCCTTTCCTTTCTGAACTTTACTTCAAAATAAAGGGAAATTCTCTTTCCTGAAAAACACAAGCTATCCAGAATTCTGCCCCGGGCGCCCATAACTCTGGTTACGCCACTGCAGCTCATATATCTTGGATGGAAAGAATTAATGTGCTAAGGGGCCCATTTCTAAGGATCTTACAAATCCTGAAAGTCAACAGTAACTAGCATGTTATCCCTGGTCTTGTTTACCTATTATAATTGCATGCAGAACAATCATAGCTAAATGGAAAATCATCATGGAAATAGCTTCTATAAACAGGTTTTCCCCAGCGTTATCCATGTTTTAATGGTAATCACTTATTAACACTACTTCTTTTACACACCCCCTTCCCCTGAACCGCCAGTATTGGAATGGTAGGTATTTGGCTCTTCTACACCACAGGTGCCCCAAAAGGTGGTGCAGCCAATGCTCAGGAAGGTTTATTTGAAGTGTGGGGTTTGTAAGGGGGTAACCCCTTTCTATGAATGGGGTATTGATAAAAGGGTCCATGTCACCTCTTACCTATTCACTGTGGAGCAAAAAACAAAAACATTCACACAGATGATAAAACTAATCCTTTTTAGAAATAATGGCAATCCCAGTACCCTTCCTCACTTCATTAAAAAGGTGAAAAAAAGGTAACAGTTTAACATCTTCCCATATCCATGCAAGGTCTCCTAATGTAGAGGGACATTCCCTCCTTCTAAGGCTGGGTTCACACCTGGGCGTTTTACAGCGCTGATCGAAGCGCTGTAAAACACTCAAACAGTGAAATCCCATTATTTGTTATGTGCATGGTTCCCACCTGGGCGTTTTTCAGCGCTGATCGAAGCGCTGAAAAACGCCCAACGCGCTTCTTTCGGGCGTATTTCAGCTCGTCTCCATTTGCCCTCGTTATCGGGATTTCGGAAACGCGCATTTGCCGCGCGTTCCGCGAACGGAATAGCGCGCAGCAAACGCGCATATTCCGTACGCCCATGTGTGAACTCAGCCTAAAAGAATTTACACACTTCTATTCTCTCTGCTATTTGATTAAAGTATATTAAAAGTAAAATTTTATTTTTAAAGTAGTTAATGTTTAAAACTCTGAGTATTTGACTGATGTCTGTCTGATTCCCCTTGCCAAGGCTACCCTTCACTTACTGTTCTGGAGACACAACAGGAAATCTCTCCAAAGTGAAGGGAAATCCTTTCTTAGACAGTTGTCACTGAAACAGTTTTCCGCATTGTAAGATTTTCATGTGGAATTTTGGATTTTACATTATTTTTTTCCCAATTGCAAGGATCTCCAGGACCAGTTGAGCGGGTTAAGCTCTCCAGCAATATTACAGACAACAATAAATCACTCATGGAATAGGAAGGTATCATCAGTCCAAAATGTCTGTTGGGACAGTTTTTATTTAAAGTCATATAGGTCATATAGCTGAGATTTTGGGGCCACGCAGGGTCTCTTTCCCTTCAGTGTTTTCCAAGTGATTGTGCACGTCACAAACTATTGCGGTCATTTCAAGTACCCTACTGATTATACTGGTCTAATAATGCAGAGGTAGTGCAGCTCAGAACATGGACTTTCAGCAATAAAAATTGATCACATCCATTGTTTTCATATACATGTATTTAGTTGTGTGTGCTCTGCTTCATGATTTTTTTTCATTGAGTGATTAAAACTGAATAAATATATTTGACATACCTCTGATAGCAAGTATCTCATGGCTGTCCAGGATAAAGCCTTTCCTCCACCTTCACGATCACTGTCTTTAAATTCATCTTTAAGCACTTTGATGCCCTCCTGATATTATAGAAATACAGAAATATATTATAGTGATTCATGTTCTGGTCCCAGATTATAGAATTTTCTAAATTAGATAAAGTCCATTACATAGAAACATTATCATGAATGGAATTACTGCTCCTGCCATATTAGTGATCAAAGTCACAAAGAGACCGCAAACAGCCATGATCAAGTTCCATCACTGTGTAGTAAGCTACAGGTACTGCCAATTGGTCAATCACAGCCTAGGAATAACAAATCTGAGTCACGCTAACTTGAGAGTGATAAGCTGCTAGTGCAGTCCTTAAAGAGTAAGTTCACCCCCTGATTTTTATTAAACCCTTCTTACCTGCTAGGCAGGGTTGCCCTCAATTCACGTATTCACCTGCTCACTAAATCCAGCATTGTCCTGCTGCAGTTTGTTAGTCCACTACCATAATCTGAGTCCAGCACCACCATCTTGATCCCCCTTAGTCAATGGGAGACAGCTAACCACTGCCAACGGTGTCACCCTGCTCCTGTAGCATTCTGGGATATATGATAGGCATATCCCAACGTTATTCACGCCTAGGCAGTATGGTGGAAGGGGGTGCTCTAAACAGCGTAAAAATTAAAAACAAAAAAAAGAATTTAAAACACAACTTTGAAATTGTGTGGGAGGGAAGGAGGTGGAGTTCAGGGTGGCAAACCTATTTAGTGGACTGAAGGAAGTATTGTGTAATGTTCCATAACCTATTCTCTCTAAGTTGGATAATTAATTTGGACACATACAGTATAAGTGTAAAAACAAGTATAATATTGCCTTAGATCAAAAATTATTATTAATTTGCAGTATCTACATTTTGGTATTGGGCATTGTGCATACCATCAATTCTGTACAGCCAAAACGCATAGTGTCTGGACAATTCCAGCCTGCTGAAATGCCATACATTGATCTCAATCGACTAGCACAGTGGAAAAAACAGAGGTTGTGCAGCACTGCTGGCCATTCAGGACGGGGACTTGACACCAAGATTTCATTGCTGACAAACTGCCAGGATTGAATGACTCCTCTTCTTATGTTCTGTAAAGAAAGTAAGGAAAAACATAATGATTGGGTGATATAAATAGAATAATGAAAGCATTGTGTTGTGCATTGCCAGGCATGAAAATCAAGTGTTATTTACCATTGGCATATCCACAATAATTTTTACAGTGTAATGGAGCAGTCGTGTTGGCAGCTCTTCACTGGCTTGGACAGACAGCCACAAGCGGAAGTTCTTGTCCGAGTTCTTCTTAGAATTTAGGATCTCCCCTAATGACATCATTATCTTGGCAGAATTTTGGATGTTCTCCAAGAAGAGCCAACTACCCTAATAAATGATAACATGAAACATGAAAGTCAAGTTGGATCATTGTAGAGAAAATGTTCAGCATCAAAAATGATTAAAAAAAATATAGAAATAACAAAGGTAAAATACTATGGTCGGATTTTAGCCTATACAACATACCTTTTGTGACTTCTAGAATCCTAACTTTTATGCTATTGAGTTAGGATTCTGAAATTTGTGGTTTACAATGCAATCTGGGGAATCTAAAAAGTTTTGTCTCCCTCAACATTCCTGGGATAGTGCATGAAAGCATTATATTTGTGTCATTACAGACATAGATGAGCTGGGACATGTTCATGGTTAAAGATGAACTACTTTTTTTTGTATCGCGAAGAGAGCATGGGATAGTATTGCAATGCACTTCAGCTGGCATAAGACACACCTTTGTGCAGTGGCTCATATGAGTATGCTGCAGTACTAACCTGTGCTGTGTGTGTGCGCAACACAGAACGTAAAGGGTGCCCATCCCGCACATAATGGCAAATGCCAGTAGTAATACCATGATGTCCCCAGTGTTTACATATGGGTTGATGCCCATGTGTAACAGCTCGTGTTCTCTTTGACATCTGTCAAGGACAGCCAAAAAAACCCGGTAAAGGAAAAGTACATGTAGGCTTTCTATATATGCTTGCAGAGTGTACAAAGAGGTAACAAAAGTATACCTTTATGCAGTTTTTTAAAAAGATCATTAGACTTTTTTTAATTTAAAAAAAAATGCAGAATGAAGAAGATGGAGGTCTTCTTTAGTCAAAAAAGTTAACAATATACTATATAGATACCTCTGACATTGCATCAATGAGCAATTCATGTATTTCTTCACCAGGTGTACTGATGGGGAATACAGTTATCTTCTGACTTTTCTTTTCTGCAAAATCCAGGAGTAAGGTCCGGGGCAAATTACAATCACTGCTATATATAAGTAGCCCTGGCTGATAAGGTGTCATCCACGACAAAGACGTTTGAAGATCAACAACTGCTTCTGATGCATACCTAAAAAAGCACAGAATAAAATCTATTTATTATTCGCCTCCTAATCCCCATGTACTTGTATTGTTCACTCTTTGTTCTGTTAACTTTATAACAACTGCATTTTATAGCTGTTCATCTTTACACTTGTGCGATCTAGAATAGAACATTAATAAGGCTATTAGAAGGCTAGTAAAAAAAAAACAACACATTTACACTAAGAGAATAATAGAGACTTATCAGTATGGAGAGTAGAACAGCAGAAGCATCACCAGCATACCGAAATTATGCAAAAAGCAGGAACAATTATTGCCACAAACTTGTGATGTGACATTTTGGGGCCACAGATGATCCTTTTATCAAGGCAGTGATAGTGTCACCACTGCCTTGATGAACGGTCCTTTGTGGCCCTAAATACATCACAAGTTTGTGGCAATAAATGTCTCTGCTATATGTATCTTTTTGGTGTACTTGTGACACTTCTGCTATTCTACTTTGCCATATATGAGGGTGCAAACCGTTGGTTTGTCACTGCAGCACCCAGTTTGGAAGGTCTTTACAGACATCCCCACTCTCCTAGACGTTCTGCGAGTCTCCCACTATACAATAGCAGCTCCCTGACGCCCGCAAGAGAAGCATTTTTATCCTGGAAAGGTTTGCTTTGCTCTATCTAGCAGAGTAAACCTTTCCGGGATCCCCTGCTATCTGTTGTTTTTTTGTTTTTCTGTTCTGAAGGCAGCCGCTGTCAAAATACAAAAAAAAAACAACCCAGCAGATAGCAGGGAAAGCATTAGCTCCTCTGCTATGTGCCATCATTTCAGGGAGGTGCCCTCTAACCCCTATACCGCCCACCCGACCCCCCCTCCCGGAAATGGAGAGGGCACCTCCCTCAAATGAGTTTTGGCAGGTTGGGATCCCTTTGTTTATGGCTGTAAGGAGTGCACTGGATCACATGGACCTACATAGATCAGCAGGCAGGTCTCAATAAGGTCTCATGTAATGTAATAACACATTTACATTTGGCATTTAAAAGTATGTGAAAAGTTATACCATAACACAGTACAAGACTGTTATTGTGTTTATATAAAGAATCAGCAACCACAGTATATGCAGTGCAAGTGTCTCCACATGAAATGAAGAAATAGGTTGAACAGAATATTTATGCTTTATGTGATAGTAGTGCATGTAATTTATAACTGAAACATTTCCACAGAATATTCTATTGTTCACTTACATCTTCCCCAGAGTCGCACTGATATAGTTGGAAGCTGCTGGCAGAATCCTATCCATCCTCACAGCTCGTAAGATAAGAAACCTATGAAGGGCATTTAGTCCATCCATACCATCAGGCCATTTTACCTTAAAAGAGAGGCATTAACATTAATATCTCCACTTTAACTGTACAGTAGTAAAAATCAAATCATTTTATACAGAATAAACATCTTTTAATAGGAAATGATAAACAAATAAGGAGAAAGAAAGCAGTATACTGCCAGAGGATGTACAGGCAGCTTCTACAATAGGTTTACAGTATTCTAACTAATCAGTTTACCCATACTCCTGCAATACAGTATTTATTAACATTCTACATTTTCAATGGACAGTGATGTGTCAGTGATGAATAGCAGGAAAGGTATAGCAAAACTAAATTAACCATTTCAGGGCCAGCACAATATCTCTCATTGCTGCACCGATTAAAATTTTAACTTTTTGTTCTGTTATATATCTATATGAATTTGTTTTGGTTTTTTTAAAGCAAAAAGAGCTTTCTGTGATAAACATATATTAACATCTGTTTCTTTTTTATGCATATTTAATTTAAAGAAGAACTCTGGGCAGAAATAATTGTAAATCTTGCAGTGGGGCTAGGGACAAAAATAAAAAAGGATATACTCTGAACCTCTGAAACTCTGAACAATGAACCTTGGAGCAAGTTGGCTCCTAGATCGGTCCCTTGAGCCTGTCTTCTCCTACTCTCCAGAGATTAAATGTCCCCAGCATCCTCACGTCTTATACACAGTATAGGATGTGAGGGCTTACAGGACCTTAGACTGCTGGAACGGAGGGAAAGAGAGGCTCTAGGGACTGGTCTAGCATGGTTCGGGTATTAATTTAACGCCCTAGAAAAAACGAGCACAAGATCTTATTTGCCCGGGGGTCATCTCTTTAAAACATGACCCCCCATCCCCCAAAGTAATAAGCTATCCAAAATAAAATGATCCAATACCATTGCCATCTTCACCCGTCTTCATGTGCATGATAAAATGTAATAAGTGAAAAGTAACAGGTCAATGGTTCCAAATAGTAAATAGTTTAGACAATAATGTAATAATAACCACCTTGGAAGAATTTTCAGGCTGCTCACTCTCACAAAATGTCTTCCATGTCAGATCTTTACCATCCTTGTACATACGATCAAAGAGGTCTCCAAACCAGTCAAAGTATGTGGCAAGAATCTTTATAAAAAAAACAATGAATAAAACATCAGCGTAGCTCAATAATTTTTTGACAACACTGTTAAAACAATAATCTGCTTTGGATAAATTCTACTAGTGGTTGGTAAGTGTACAGGTAAGGTTCTTTAAAGGGAGCCAGTCAATCTAAGGAAATGACATTAAACAGGGCCAAGTGTACTGTTTTAATGCTGTTTAGTTCTAAGAAGCACAGAGGTTTTCCGATCCATACTTGGGAAAAGACTAACAAAAGCCTTGAGTTCTATTTGCGAATCTGTGACATTCCCAATGGAGTTGGAGCACCCAATGCCTATGGCTAATAAGAGTAGTGAGGCTGAAGAAATCAGATTTACTGCAAATCATCAATGCTGATATCGACAGACATTGTTTTGCTGTGCTTGGCGTTTGTTTGGAACACACCTCAAACACAGGCCAGCAAAAGTTACTGTAAATTTGATGTAAACCATTGTGAGAAGGCAAAGTTTTTGCCCTAATGTGCAAGTATGCACAATCTTAGAGATGCCATGAATGAGCTGAGTGTGTACACTGCACATACACCATACAGTGCACACAGAAAATAAAAAATAAACACTGGGGTTTGGCTGGGGGTAGCCAAACTTTGGCTCTCCAGCTGTGGTGAAAATACAAAGCCCATCATGATCCTGCCTCTGGGAGTCATGTCTGTGGTTGTCTTGCAATGCCTAAGGGGATATGTAGTTTAACCACAGCTGGTGGGTCGACATTTGGCTACCCCTGCTCTCGAGCATCTGTAGCTTTAAGGTTTTCAAGATGCCATGTTTTATGTAGCATCTGAAATACAGTGTAAAGGGCACACACGTTTAAGCTACTAGAAAGGTTGTCCAAATTTCTCCAAAGCCTTTCAATAAATGTTGTATCAATTGTTACTTAAGACCAATATGCCCTGAAGTCCCATAAACAAATGTATTTGTGTTTTTTTTTTTCATTTTTGAATCATTTTATGGCAATCAATATGTATAATTTATATCAATTATATCAATAAATATACTTGAAAAATATTTACCTGGACATTTTTAAACTGCTCTTCACTCATCCAGTCAAATGGGTTCTTCGCTTGCTGTCGGGATTCAGACACTTTGCTAGCCATACCCTGGAGCACAGCGACACATAAGTCGGGGGAAATGATAAACTCTCTCTCCCCTGGTCGTATTCTGCTAAGTGACTGTTCCACCTAGGACCAAGCAAGTAATCTTTTAACCTCATACGATACAGATAACTATGCTACTATGCAAAAACTAGGTGAAAGGATGAGTGATTGTGCTAGCCCGCACTAGACAAATAACAGCTTGAATTTTCTTGCTCTGGGCAAGCAACAGAAACGTTTCTTTAACCGTATACATCAAACCCAATAACAGCAACTCCATCCAACAAAGAAAGCCCATCTCCAGACACTAGAACCATACCTATAAACATGCCTTTGCCTCAGTTGCAAACCTCAGTTATGAAGGCTTTATTAAAAACTAGTTCATTTACATGTCAGAACAACTCCCACTGCACTTCTGGGCTGCTACAGATGTAAAGACTGCAGGTCTCTTAGATCTTAGCACTCACCCACCGCCTCCTGGCCAATAACATAAGAAAGCCTGGGGTCATGTGTTTTTTAAATGGTCAGGAGGAAATGGGGCAGAGACATGTTTCCAGCGCTGTGGTCTTTAAGTACTACAGTGCTTACATCCACAGGCATGTTTGCTTCTTTAAACATGGCAATGTCTCGTGCCCAGAGTTTGAGGACAGTAGTTAGTTAAACTACCTACTGGTTTTTATCTCAGAAATTTTACTGGCAAGAACCCCTGGATCTAAAGGTGTCACTTGCACATAAGTTGGTCTTTCCAGCTATTTGTTTAGGGGAGAACTAATCAGGGGACTTGACACTATCACCTGTAATACCCACTGAAATTAGGTACTACTGGGATTTCTAATGGGGATATCTCACCATTGAAGTCTATGAGAGATATAAGCCACTGACTTAACTTGCTGGCAACCCACGACAACTGAAATATCAGTATTAAATTAACTGAAATACCAGTATCAGATTGAACGACCCATGGCAATATACCATACACGTTTCATTTTCACAGGTACCCCAAGGCACTAAGGGAACTCACCTGTATTGCAGCACACCCCAACTCATGATTCTGCACTACTATGCCTTGTGGTGCACTGAATTACAAAAAATGGCACATATTCATTTTCTGGTGTGGGATGTTCAAATAAATGGGCTGAATCAACACAATAGGTTAATGTGGGTGGCTTAATGCTGCACAGTGGAAATGTGTGTATAAGTTAATTCTTTTTTTTTAGGCTAATGGTTACCTCAAATGCTGTGAGCAAGGCATACACCATTCTGTCCCTTTCCAGCAAGGACTTGGAAATATATGAGAAGATGTTGCTCGTTAGATAGGCAACTACACCTTTGAGTGAATACCTAAGAGAAAACAGCGGAAAAGAAAGGGGCATATCATTTAAACTGCTCCACTAAAGACACACTACATCCACTTCAATGCTTTTACTAAAATGTTTATTATATCATTTAGCTGTTTGGAGATTATTACATATTTTCTGCACATATGAAATTTTCAAATTTTTTGTATTATTTTTTCACACTAATGTCTATATATTCCCTTGCCCTCTGTACAGTAAAATAATAGTTTTATATATACATGTATATGGGGGCACCCTCATTCAGACAACCCACCTGCAGGTTCTGCACCCTGCTTTGTGCTATACAATGGTTGTGCATTAATGCTCCTTCTCATAATACAAGTGTATGAACCAGCCAATTCTATGAAAACAATGCACTTCTTGTGTGACTGACATGGCAATAGCTGTTAAGAAGAGCAGCACTGCTCGCTTAGAACCACTGAGAACTCCCTCTAGTGACTAATTTACAAATGGCACAATAACTTAAAGGGTTTCTAAACCCTCCGGTTTTTTTTGCATATATCTACTGCTGTCAAGTAGATATATGCAAAAAGTAAAAAAAAACAAAAAAAAACGTTTTAACAGCAGTTTAAACTTACCACGTCTTCGACGCACGCTCCCGCTCGAGAATCCAAAACTGCTCGGGCGGCCGCAAAGCATCTTGGGGCGGGCGCATGCGCAGTTCGGATTCTCGGCCGGGAGACGTGCAGAGACGCAAGGTAAGTCTATGGACGCTTGCACCCACATGCAGACACCGTGGGATTGAAAGTGTCTGCAAGGACAGAGCAGTCAGCGCTGGATCGGAGACCCGCTGCAGCGCTGGAGGGTATTATGAAAACATCAGGAAAGAAGAAGAAGATCGGATTAAGAGACATAATTTAAGGTAAGTGCTGACATTAATATTGGGGGGACGGAAACATTTTTTTGACTTTAATGTCACTTTAAGGAGAAAACATGTAAAAATGTGCATAGGAATTTACTATGCTCCTCTGTCCCAGCGCATGGCTGGACGGAAGAGTTAAATATGAACCCGCAAGTGCAGACAGGAGCCGAGACAAGACACCAGCACTGGTGCCTATCACACTTGTGTGCTGTCAGCGAGCTAGCCTGTAAATAAAAAAGCTGATATTACGTTTATACAAAGCAGAAGTAAACACATACCAAGCTCTCTTAATCTATGAAAAGTATTGTGCCCAGAGTTAGGTTTTAATGAGCTGCTCCTGTCAATTAACTGTGTTATGGAGACATTTACAGCTATACTTTAAACTATACCAACTTCATTTGTATTACTTTGTGCCTGATTTAATCACACCATTGATTATGTAAGCCCTTTCTATTCTGTTTAAATGATTTGTATTGGTTTTGAAAGGTCCAACATAACAATCCTTTTGCCCCTTCTGTTCAAAAGGCAGCTTTACAATATTGACCTTATAGCAGCCATGTCACTATTTAAAATGAACTGTGAGAAAAGAAAGATCAGATCTTCTAAAGCTAAATTGTTTTTAAAAGTTGCAAACTTTGGTGCTGTTATCCGCATTGGGGTTAAAGTGACACTTTACTCAGAAGTTAAATCTTAAAAATGCATTCAAGTACCTTAACTATTAACAATACTGTACCTTATTTGTGCATCACTTGGCTGTAGATCCACAAATCATCTCTGACACTGTACTTCCTTCTGGAGGGTGGCTACTTTTGTTCCCCATGGTCCCTGTGTGTGTTGTAAAGTAGGCACCGCTCCAAGCTCTCTCTTGTGATAGACTACAATCTCACGTTTAGTGTACTAATTTGTATTGAGATTGTAGTCTATCACAGGATTAAGCTTGAAGCGGTGACTACTTTACAACACCCACAGGGACCATGGGGAACAAAAGTAGCCACCCTCCAGAAGGAAGGACAGTGTCAGCATGAATTCAGAGATGATCTGAGAATCTACAGCTGAGTGTTACACAAATAAGCTTCATTTTTGCTAAGGTACTTGAATATATTTTTAGGATTTAACTCCTGAGTTTAGTGTCACTTTAAAGTAAAAGAGCTGAAACAAGAACACAGGACACAAGTCCAGATATTGGCTGCATTCATGTTCCAGGTCAGTGACTCACCAGCAAGTAAAGCCAGTATAAGAATAAGAGCACCAGAGCTTGGACCTTTTAAACCAAAGTAGTCATGGCAGATCCTAAGTTTCTATCCTTTTAAATGGTTCCAATCTCTATATGAAAATAATGTGTTGGTTTTGTTTGAGGTGATAAAATGTAATATTATCATATTTTTCTTGATTTTTAATAACAAGATATGTTCATAATTCTCTTTTGTGTTTTCACAATTACTGAACAATAAATAAAAAGTGAGAGTAAAAAAATAGGTAGGAAAAATGTAAAAAAAAAAAAGAATCTATAAAAAGGGCAAGCTGCTTGTATAATATATAAACTTGTTACTGGCTTTCTACAGGAAGGCACTCACCTCTCAGAATGTGCCACCGATACATCAAACAGTTCCAGCAGCTGTTTGTAGCTAGTGTCGTACATCTTGTTAAGTTGCTGAAGCATTCTTGCAGTGTCAAACATCACAGCACCACGCACAGCTATCTCATGGAAACCTTCTCTGGCGTGAAGCAAGATGTCTTCTGCAGCAATATTCTTCATAAGCCTTTGAAAGCAACCAAGGTGACTGATAAAGTTCTACATGCATTAAACAAATTCATGTCTTCATGTGCCAACGAGCTGATGATTTATACAGACTGTAAAACTACTTTTTGTACTTTACAATGAAAGCAACACTTTGTAAAAAAGTATAAACATGGTGCCAGAGTAGGACTGGGCTAGGGGAAAAGGGGGGCATTGCTGTCTGGAGCAAAACAAATAAAATATGCTGGGCATGTGGCCGTAAATGAAGACACTCCACCATTCAGACCCTGATAAGAGTAGAACTCACAATCAGCTACACATGCTGGGCATTATATGTACCTGCTCCCAGTTCATTGTTACCTATTGTTAGCTATTCATTTAATATCCCAGCATCTGGCACATGGAGGCCTTCTCACATAAACTTTCTTTGTGGCTCTGAAATATAATGTGACTTAATGCCAAGAGCCACAAAGGAAGCTGATGTTGAATGATGTGATTGTGTGTACATAGTGTAAACTTTAGAGGTGTAATTATTTATCAAATCCTAGCAACACCGGTCAATTTATTTTAAAAAAAGGTTACCCTTGTCATGGAATGTTTTCCTGGTTTCACATATTTCACTAATATTTTATGCAAGATTTTTGAACCACAGGCACAACGATAGTCATCATGCTTCTCCAAATTAATACAGTATAAATAAACTAAAAAGCTAAGCTTAATCTGGCTATACACTAATAGATTTCTCCATCCAAAGTCTACAGGGTGCCTGAAAGAATCTACCCTGTCCTGCTATTGTATTCTGACAGCCGGGGCACCCACCACTGTGTAAACACCTGAACAGTGACTGCATCTAATTGGCAATTTTTGCCCCAGCTCCTTCAACAAAAGTCAACTGATTAAAATAGTAGTACTACCAAACTAAAAACACTCCCTGGGTGTGTTGTAAAGTAGCCACCACTCCAAGCTTGCTCCCATGATGGACAATCTTATATTTAGTTTCCTATTTTGTATTGAGATTGTAGTCAATCACAGGAGAGAGCTTGGAGTGGTGGCTACTTTACAACACACAGGGACAATGGGGAACAAAAGTAGCCACCCTACAGATGGAAGGACAGTGTTAGCACCAATTCAGAGATGATTTGAGGATCTACAGCCGAGTGATACACAAATAACATACCTTTTTAATGGGTACTTGAATGCATTTTTAAGGTTTAACTTCTGAGTTTTGTGTCACTGTAAGCTTTCTTGGACTTTTACCAAACCAGCAAGGCAACCCACTAAAATAAATTCTTGGGAATCAGCTGAAATACTAACAGTGTATGGCCAGTTTAGTTCTCCCAAGTGCTGGAGGTTGTATTCACTTGACTCCCAGAAGCTAGTTCTGAAGAAGACATGGCAAATCATTGGCAAACAAGGAAACTGCATACAAATGTCATTTTGCCACTTCTTTATAAATAGCCACTATTTTTTATATGCTTGGATGGACTGACTGCCACATCGTGAAATCAAAGCCCTGACATTAAAACTGCATGCAATACTACATTAAAATGACTAATTGTATGTTATGTTGCAATGAGAAATACAAATGTGGGTAATAGCACTGCACATACATTTCTGTAGCTTCTTCGTGTTGTAGTTTTAGATCTCCAAGTTTCTTAGTGACAGACAGACTAAGCAGGAGAGAGTCATGGCTTTGTAGAGTAGCTATTATTTTGTCTTCCAGTCCTGAAAGAATCACCATATTATCAAGGCACTCCTGTTAGAGAAAAATGGAGGCAATGTTAATTTCATTATTTTATTTATTGTCATCACTACAAACTAGCCTGCATTTTATAAATTTCACTCATAAAATGCAGGAGCAAATTGGAATAAATACTGATATTCACTCTCTGTTTAAATAGGCCCCTCAATGTGTAATGCTCAATTTCTCCCTTGTAATTCAGTTAAATGCAAAATGTGTATGTTGATGAATTTATCATATTGACTTATATTTGAAATACCAAATGAACATGAGTTCTAGTGTATATACAGCAATGGCTGGGACCCTAACTATTATGCTCACAGATTTTCAGTCAGAATAAAGCTGGCCATACACTTATAGATTTGTCAGGGGTGTCACTGGCCCAAGACGTGGAGTGGTACCCACTGGCAGAAAACAGACCGAAGGAGATCCGCCACGAGGTACAAGAGAACAATTGCAAAAGGAGTAGTCAAAGTTCAGTCCGGGTCGAGGCAGGCGTCTAGGATCAAGAGCGGGAAGACAGGCCAAGGGGTCAATAACCAGGAGTTCAGATGTGGGGTCAGGGAGCTGCAGCAGTATCTGATACAAGAGGCTAGGTAATTGCACCATATAGGTAGAATAACTCAGCAACAAGCCAGGGCTCTGACTGGAATTTAAACCCAGTAGGAACCAGGACTGAACCTGGTCGCCAAGACAACCAGGAGGCTTTCCTGTCCAGGAGCCAATAACAGGAGGGAAAAAACAGAAGGTGTATGCAGGGAACCTCCTCCAGCAAGGCCCACACCTGACGATAATAACGGCCGCGGGCACACTAAGTCCATACCTCCGCAGCCTGTCCACCGCGCGTGCGCACCCGACACGCACTTCACGCATTTGCGCACCCGCAACCCTGCTGCCAGGAGTCCTGCCAAGCCGAAGAAGATCCCGTGCCCTACACTGTACCTGGCGGCCCCGAGGTGAGGTGGCACCCCTGGTTCCCTGACAAGGTTTAATTCATTCATTCATCCTGCTGGACCCTGCCAGGTAAGACTGACAGGGCCACATATGGCTTGAAATTCGACCAATGACTGGTCACTTTACTAACAGTACAGCAATCAAAGTGTAATATTATACTGATAAGCAATGATAACTGAATCTTTTAAACATATGCATTTTGGTGTAAAGTTTCAGCTCTCAGGTACGCAACGGTGGAGATTTTACATGACATTAAAGGAGAACTCTGAGGTGAGTGCTTTTCACTCACCTCATAGTTCTAGCCGACCTGTGACAATGAGACTGTCACAGGTTGGCTCAGTAGATCGGGAGGTGAGCGAACACATACCGGCGTTCGCTCACCTCTCGATCCTGTCACAGCTCTCTGTTGTGACAGGGGAGGGGCTGGATTCCCCCCTCGCCGCTCTGATCCGCCAGCGCTGACTGGCGGAACGGACGGGGAGGGGGCGGGTACAGATGGCTCTGCCTCTAGGTAGGCAGAGCCATCTGTCAGTCACGCAGCTGGGCGGTTCCAGACATAATTGTCGCGGTCTGCTTCAGCTGCAGCGTCTTAGTACACTGCGAGGACCAGCAGCTTGCGGTATACTGCGGCGTCTAAGTATACTGTGAGCTACAGCTTGCGGTATACTGAGCCTAGGGTGACGGGAGGACGCTAGTTTGTGCCCTCCCGTTACCCTAAGGAGAACTATGGGGAGAAGCCTTAACCCCATAGTTCCCCCCATAGTAAGTATAATTTCAAAGAAGTATGCTAAAATTGGGCTAGCTGGAGACAATGATTTTCTAATTCTTTTCATATTGTAAAATATGGTGAATATGGGGAATATGGGGAGGTATACTACTAATACTACAAGAAATCACTCTGCAGTAATAATGGACCAAAAATGCATACACTACCTGTTTCAGAAGTAAGTGCTCCTCTTTGAGTCTTGGCTTTTCCAGTTGTATAAATCTCTCCAGAAGCTGTTCTGTCAGTCCCTGCCTGTCCTGGGAGAAGTACAGTATGGTGCAATAGGAGGCCACTTCGGGAGGTACTCTGTCAGGTGTGCAGGTGGTGTGCAAGTATATGCGGAAACCTGGATGGCACTCCACTTCATGTTCTCCCACCTTAAACAACCATAGATGTTAGTTTACATTGAGCTATGTAAATATTTCATGTTGACACAATTAAAGGCTTAAAGTAAACCTGGACTCTACTTTAAACTTTTAAAAGTAAACTTCCTGCCAAATATCAGACACAGCAAGATGTCTGGTATTATCTTCAATAGCAATAAAAGCCTGTTCTTTGCCCCTCTCTGAGTTAGAATAACTTTGTTACTGGGGTCTGATTGTCTCATAGTTAAAGAGACCCTGATTTTTTTAGCGCCTTAACGGATACATACAGATGTGAGGTGCAAGAGTTGGTAATTACGGTAACAAAGCACATCAGGAACTGGTAGTGGAGGTGGGGTGTTGTCAGTTTGTTTCCTTTTTTATTTTCTGTGAAAGGTGAACTTTTCCTTTAAACTGTATGCACATACATAGACGTAATCAAATATGTTGTCCTTCATCTTGCACATTAGCACAGCCGAACATACCATCATTTTGAATGGAATCTTGTGTTGCTGAAATTCTCTTTTTGACTGAAGAATCTGAATAAAACGTATATCCCGTGATATGACATCTATATTGCAGTATGTGAGTAAAAGGGAATGTCCGACTGTCAAAGATATATCCATTTCAGACCGAAGATCCTAGAAACAGTGTGATCACTTTACTAATACGCAATCAGTCATATATATGTGTTTAGTAAAGACAACACTTCACATGTGCAACACATATTCTGCTTTCTTTATGGTCTTATTGTGTAAAGCAGGTATGGAATGGTGTAATAAAAAACAATCAAACTAAATACTCAGTACCCATTTAGGGTTATTGTTGTAATATTTACCTAAAATCATGTTTAATGAGGCATGTACATGGTTGATGCTGATTACATTTTGATATAGATCTAGAGCATTGTATAAAGGATTTCAATCACACTATATGAAGGTTAGTTGTTGTCAGACTGTATAAGCATGGAGGTCAGTGGCAGCAGAAGCAGGTGTTGACTGATGGGTAGTTTTCAGTGCCGAGAACTTGATACTGTATCTTTCGGCAAAGGACCATTAGAAATTAACATAGAGAATCTCAGCACAGAAGGTATCTGCAACAATGGGTTAATCTAGGCCTAAGTGTTGGTTAGTTTTAGGGTTAAGGTGAAGTCTAGGTTTAAGATGTATCTAAGGCTAAAAAACTTTATTTTGGGTAGAGTGGTGCCCCCACTAGAGATATATTTCCTTTCTAGCTGCCCTGTTGACAACTGTCACTGGGCTAGGGAAAATTCCAAAGTTTGAGTTTTCACTGGAACAGAAAGGAGGGGAAGTCACCCAATGTGCATACTTGTTGTGGTGGCAATTGTCTAAGAAAGGATTTACCTCACTTCAGAGAAGGGATTTCCTCTAACTTCATGTTATATCTATGGAGCACAAAGTAAAACAAAAACAAGACAAGGACTGAAAAAAAACCTGAAGGGTTTTAACTCTTCTCTACTCTATCCAAAACAAAAACAAATTGCCTTTAGATTTACTATGAGGTTTTTGATTTGGAAATGTATGAGGGTGAGGGGATCCTTCTTTTCTTCTTTGCCATTGGGCTTGCTTGGAAATATGCCAGTGTTGCAGTTGTTTGCAAGATACCAGGCTGATAAACTATCCACAAATTGCAGTGACATGCCTCTATAAAATCTTCCCTAATGGGCTTCAGTACCATTTTCTATCCACAGCTACTGCACAGAGACTCTGTAGCATGCTCTTCTTTGTTCTACAGAACAGGATTTATCTACTGCTCAGTGCAGAAAAGGTTAAGAGGCATTATTGTGGCACGTAGTCTGCCCTTGCTACCAAGCACATCCTTTACTTTTTGAAGACTATTGATGAATCAAGAAGCACCAGTGTTTGTATATCATATGACTCCATGAGGGGAATTTATCAAAACTTGAGCAGACAAAACCTGGAGCAGCTGTGCATGGAAACCAATCAGAATCCATCTTTCATTTTCAAAGCTTAACTTAACAAACTGAAGAGAGAAGCTGATTTGTTGCCATGGGCAACTGCTCCAAATTTTGTCTGCTCCAGTTTTGATAAATTCCCCCCCATATGTCTATATCATGATTGCGATAAGCAGTGCAATTCAGGACCATAAAAAAAAACAAAAAAACGAATCTAGCCCCAGACGTAGAGCTCTTAGTTATGAATGTCAAAATACTGAAAATAAGGCATCAGAGCACCAATAAAATGATATAGAAATTTTAGAAATGTGTATCTTTAAAAGTAAACAAATGTGAAGTATGGTAAAAGCAAAAGGCATTATTTTCTTACATAGTGTATTACTTCCACCATGTCTTCTGGTAGGTGACCTTTCATCCAGTCAATAGCTTGTCCCGCGGGATCACTCACTAAGATCCAGGAGAGGCTGGCCATTTTATTAATAAAAATGCATGAATTACTCAAAGCAAGTGGGTTTGTGGGAAGTCCCTTCTTCTCCAATGTCTTTATTTCAATCTAGATACGATAACATATAGTTGAGAATTAAAAATTATTTATACATAATGCAATGATAATATATAATAAA